ACCTTCATCCCCTTAAACACAGAAGAACACCCAAATACGAAAATGGTAAGCTGTACCATTTCATTCTAACTGAAGAAAGAAGGGAATGTGCACGTCGCAAAACAATGGATTTTCCAAGAATAATTTTATGTTCTCCCCATTTACCAATTCACCTGAAAACAAACCCACTAAAACCCAAGGCCTCAGACATAGTCGTCATCTCACGAAGTGTTCTTTGCAAAATAAATAAATCGTCAGTGTATAGTAAATGAACTGGTGCCATGACTCCTCTCGAAGAGGACATGGGTTGTACAACCTCCTTTGAAGCCAGGCAAGAAATGTACCTTCTAAGAAAGTCCTCTGTAAAGAAAAATAATAATAGACATAAAGGGTCACCTTAATAAACATTTCAAGTAACCCTTAGCAGAACCATTTATTAAAATCAACTGACAGATGTGCTAAACTAATAATGGTAAAGTTCCAACTTCTAAAAGTGTCCCCAAAACCATTCCTTGTAGCATCTTTTACTAGAATGATCGCCTCATTTTGCCGAACCCCTTTTTGAGACATCACGGTGCTCTTAGATAAGCAGAATATATTTTATTTGAAAGAAATAATTAAATTGGAATAGTTGATTATGTGATAAAATGATGTGGAATTTATATGCGAGGTCGGCGTTCAAATCTCAAAAGCCATGAAAACCCAAAGCCTCTGACATAATCTTCATGTCGGGAAGTTTGTCCCTTGCAAAATAAATTAATCATCAGCATATAGTAAATGAGAAGGTGCCATGACTACTTGTGAAGAGGACATGGGTTGTAGAACCCCCTTTGAAGCCAGGCTAGCANTATAGTAAATGAGAAGGTGCCATGACTCCTCGTGAAGAGGACATGGGTTGTAGAACCCCCTTTGAAGCCAGGCAAGAAATGTATCCTTTAAGGAAGCTCTTTGCAATGAAAAAATAATAATAGAGATAAAAATTTATTAAAATTAATTGAGAGTTGTGCTAAACTTATAATTTTAATGTTCCAAGATCTAAATGTGTCCCCAAAATCATTCCTTATATTTTGTTGAACACCTTTATGGGGTATCCATTTATTGTTAGATATATATCCTGTATTTTCTTTGAAAGAAACAATTAAATTGTATTAAATTATTTGGAAAAAAAAAAGAATTAAATTCTGGGGACACTTTGATCTAAATTTTTTTTTTCTTTTTGACTCGTGGAGACAGTTATGGATGAATTAGTGAAATAGTAAAAATCACTATTTTCTACTAAACTCTTAACTTATTAGTGGAGGTTATAATTTGTTTCTACGTACATAAAGCTCATTTACCTTGGAAAACTCAAAAATCATTTTCGTCTTCTGAAATCTATAAGAAAAGATTTTATAGTTATTTTTTTGGTAAATTTGTTCTTGAATAGATCTTGAGAGTTCTGAAATTCAATTGCTATTGCACAAGTGCTTCGACCATTGTATCGTGGGAGTGAATGTCTACTAAAGTCGTAGCAGTTAACAGCAGACTACTCCACTTTAGGATTTCATGTTTCCACAAGTCTAGATCTTTCTTACTTTCTACATTTTATTGTTTGGAAAGGGAACCTACAACTAATTTTTATCATAAAGTTTCCACCAAAAGAATGTTTATCAAAAGTGCTTAAGGCAATCTGAAGCTAAGGAAATGCTATCCTCAATATTTCTACAACTGACAAATTCGAATATATTAGGTGCCACAATTCTCGCCGCTATAATTGCTAACCTGCTTTCCAATGTCAAAGTGACAAGTATGAACAGGAAACTGCTAAGCATAATTGGTTGAAACTGATATGGTGAATTTGCCTTTACAAGATAGTGCCTACTGCAAAACTATCTTGTGGAGAAGAATATGTTCATCTTAATGTATATGTGGGGGTGTTGGTCCCAATTAAGTTTGTCAGGACATTCAAAAACCAAAAGCGTTTGCAGAAAGTAAATCGCAAAAATCAAAAGATGTCAACAAGAGATTTT